TGTGGTATCTCTCTTTTGTGCATATGTTTCAAATAGGTTTAGATAAACAAGTAGGAAATTGTGATATTGAATGAGTGCTACGAGAATATAGGATAGGTGAATGGCCCAGGACAGAATAAGAGATACCACAACTGTTTGGCAGACAATTAGTCAAAGGATCGACTTAACTTGTATCTTTGACGAGTTATCGTGTGGTGTTAAGAATGGCAAGGCTCACTGACGATGCCGGAAATGTACCAAGTCCACGGTCTGACTCTGGAAAGTATCCTGACTCCGAAAAAGATGCGTTTCTCGAGCTCCTCCTGCCATTATGATTAAGGTCAAATAGCTTTTTAATTAAAAATATATATATTTTTACTACAAGTGCATATTATCTATATACAATATTTTGACCAGGAATTCCACTTACAATTATTTTAAATAATAAATGCTGTTTGACAAAAATGAAAAAAATTCTTCCAAAATGTTAGCTTTTAATAAGAAATTCTTAGGAATCCAGTTAAAGTAGTGGATAAGGAGAGAATTGAAGAAGAGAATTAGTTTTTAGTTAGTGAAAGATAATTACACAGGCTCAAGAAATATAAGTAGTTTGAGGCCTGGAGATTGTAATGATTATTAGTCTGTATAGTAAGTCAATAATCTTAGTGGCATACTTTAGAGATAGTTTTCCCTGTTTTGCAACTTGACAAAGCAAAGTGACGATGTTCCGAAGCTTGTTAGAAATGTCACACATCCTACGACTCATGAGCACTGCATGCACACAAAACATATGTAATTGAAAAGAATTATATGTTTTAACATTGCGGAAGCTAAAATACACGCGATTTCCGTGAGAGTGTGCAGTTATATCACGACTCAAGCGAATTTTAGCATCCTTCGCAGCTATTCTACTTCGGGCATTTGTAAAAATGTTGAATAGAATAGACTAACCAAAAAGCTCTTGGGACATCTCACTAAGTGGTCATAGTCAAGCTGCAAAATGTAGGTGGCATAGTTTCTGACCACCTTTATTGACTGACGATTCCTGTTATATGACGAATTAATCGCGGCCGTAGGACGATGCGCCGAGGATTTACTCTACAAAATCTAACCACTTTGACTTTTGCTAAGGCCAAATTTACTAATCTCATCCACTCGCATCTTCAATCTAATACTTGATTTTTTGCAAGCCAGTTTCTCTTCATGTCATGCTATTGTGATTCACAGGCTCGTTTCATACTTACCCTTTATTTACAATATTATTGTTTTATTTGATAATTAGAGGTACCAACTTCATCTTTAAGCTCTGGGTATAAACTTCGTAATTGCCCTTTACATGATTACATTTCTTGACTATTTCAGTGACCGTCATGCAGACAAGTTGCTACGACCTCAAGCGCTCTTCTGGTGGCACGATTTCCAGTTCCCTGCGTACGGGCTACTACAGAACAACTACGGCGACAGCCAATGCAGCCTCGTCTGATCAGCTGCTCCAAGATTGTCATCTTCTGACCCCTGGCTCCAAGTGTTGTGGGCAATCTGACGGAAAATGCATCTGCACTGCGGAGCTGATGGTCTCGAAGCGAAGGATGCGGCACCACGGACACGGCGGCCCGGCGGTTGGGTGTGATTTCGATCAGAAGAATGGGCATGCCATTGTGGAGGGAGTGGGAAATAATGAGAGGAGGGAGGTGGAAGAGTCGGAATTGGAGGAACCTAATGAGAGTGTCACAAAAGAGGCGAAAAATGCGAATAAAATGGAAGTCTATGAAGAGAGAGATTTGCTAGAAGGAGGTAACAATGGCTGCTACAGTTTTGCGATAATGGAGCAAGATGAAAAGTGTCTTCAAGTGCGTGGTTTTGTCCGTCGAGAGGGGATCAAAAGAGAAAAAGGAGGCGAACTTGCTGAAAAAGGGTTTCGTTTGATTCAGACCGCATGCAATGAACGGGAAAATAACGAAAACCGATGTGACCAAATAACCGACAATCCCGAAATTACAAAGACACACTTGAGCAGCATTGGTTCACTTGACAACCGGACCCCAGCAACACACGAGCTGATGCTAGGGAAACGCGATGCCAAGAGCACTAGCCCTGGTCACTTCGCTATGCTGCACCATCCGGCTTGGAGAAAGACGAGAATGGCGACCTGGCATCCCAGACCTCAGCGTCCAGGGC